GATGACCCAGTAACGGATTAGGAAGGTTCGTTATTGACTGGGATGAGTCCAAGGAATAACTTAAGTAGTAGGCACGGGATTCCAAAGACGTTTCAATCATGAGATATGTATCCTACAAATCTTAAGTCCTAAATTATCTTCCTAGCCATAGGATGATCAAAATGACTATCGAACATCCACAAAGGCCGATTTATGTCATATTCAGTAGTATGTCTCAGACTAAGCATATAGTGACATGCAATTGACGTAAAGGTGCTCTTCTATGAGATCGAGTTCATTGAACAATGACTAACTATAGAAGTGTATGAATAGAAGATTACCTACTTATCAATCATACAACACTTCTAAGTTATGGATGTAAATAGTTCTTAAACCTGAGGCATCACTGGTTATCTTGGTCATGAATGTGATCTTTAGTCTGGCATCGAAACCCTCAAACAATAGTGGAGCGCTATAATGTGAGGTTCGAGATCATGTGCATCAATATGGAGATACGTGAATGCACAATAAGGAATCTGTCACTGATGCGAAATATATAAGCACACAAATTTAACCCTCTTTTGACAATTGTAGTACAAGTATAAGTAGAGATCGTTCTGGACCGGGGATTAGGAGGGCTTGCTAATAACCTCTAAACTGACTCAAAAACATAAAACTAAACTTAAAAACACTTAATAAGACTCTCAAGACTCAAAGCAAACTTAAAATACTCAAAACAACTTAAAACAACCAAATAAACTTAAACTAGACACTAGGAATGACTTTGGACGAAAATTGACTTTTACTTGAATCAAAACACTTAAAAACACAACTAAAACATATTTGAAACACTTTGAAACAAGAAACTAAAAGGGGGGTTTTGATTTGGATGAAGTTGAAACAAACAAACAAACAAGTATGAAAAATTAGACAGATTGTAAAATAAATTTGAGCAATAAGATGATGGATGGGATAGCTAGAGGTTTTTTCTCCACACATGACATGCATGCAAATAACTTGATTTCCAGTTACTATTTCATTGAATTATGAATGACAATGCTCCAAATTAACCATGACATCACTAATTAACTCTTAGATTTTCCTTGTTTTATTGGATTGGATGACATCATTCGACAACCCAAAACATTCTTCTAAAGTTCCCTACATGACATCATAATAGAGATACAATCAAAGATCATTACGTTTAATGAAAATCATAAGCATTGACAAAGCACTTGCAACTATGACATCATGTCACTCATGCTAGGAATTGAACTTAACCCGATCGTTTATAAGCGATCTTCACTACATGTGAATATAAGTTTGTAACGATTATGTGAAACTTCCTTATATTCTAGCAACAGATTTATGCATGCCAATTAAGTGTCGACCCTTAATCAACAAATACAAATAAGTTATCAATCAAATAGTTAAGCCAATTGCATTTACGATTCAAGAGTTCATAACTGGAATTTATCAAATCATATTACACACATAATCATGGCTTTGAAATCACCCCTAGCCAAGAGGGGTTTAACCACTCATCTTCACAACAAAACAAAGTAAAATGAATTTAAACATTGGAAACAAAAGAAATAAAACACCTAAACGCTCCAACGATCCAAGTTGGATAGCAAGCACATCCAAGCACTTTCCTTCCCTTCTTTTGCTACGGCACAAGGTGTTGTTAAGTGTTTGAAGATTTGTTTGTATGGAGGAATGGATGTGAAGATGAATGGATGTGTTTTGATTGATCCCTTTTGATGAAGGGTGGATGAATGTATTTATAGACTAGGAAGAGGATGTAGTGGGTGGTGGTAATGAGTGGATGTAGTGGTAGGTGAATGTGTTAGGTGGTAGAAATGAGTGGATGTATTGGGTGAAATGAGTGGATGTAGTGGTAGGTGAATGTGTTGGGGTGAAATGAGTGTGCTAAAATGGTTATTTATTGGGAGATGATGATGCACAAACTTCAAATTTCATCAATTCCTTTTGCTCCAAGCATAAGCTATCCATTCCATGCCCAAAAATGCTCCAAAATGCACTTCTTTGCCACATTAACCCTTTGGACCTACAAACACACGAAAATAGCTTAAAATACATAATTAACTAAGAAATAACAACATATATGCATGAGAACAAGTTAACTCAGTCGCATAAATATGCTTCTATCAGTCACCTTCTAGGTAATCATGAAGGTTTATATTCCATAAGCCCCTTGACGATCTATGTCCAGAAGTCTTTAGCCAAAGCAATAAGAGATACATCATGGCGATCATATTCATGCCTAATTAGAGTTTGAAAAATGTTCCATGATCTAAAATATATGAGCAGAATACAGTAGACAGAGGAACTGAATTGCATTGTAACCATAACTAAGGTTCTCAATATGTGTTGTATGAATTCAAACATATTCTGACTAATTTGGATAGTTGAAAGTCATTACTAGACGTTACTATTCGGTTTGTGGATAATCCTATAAGGTTGAATTAGAATGGTTTCTAATTATGTAAACTTATATTAATTTGATTAATCGAATTATCCACTACTAGCTTTAGTTAGAACCCACAAGGTCACAAAAATGATATCGAATAATAAAATTGATGAAAGTTGAATTTGATATAAATGGTTTATATTAAATGTTTAATTTTTTATTAATTAGTTTGGGCCTTCTATTTATTGTTGGTTAATGAACTAAAATAAAATAAGAAAACCTAGTCCGAAAGAAAAGATCGAATTAATTAAACAAATAAATAAGGAGCGAACCGGGTCCAAGCCCAATTGCAAGGGAGGTGTGCGGCAAGCCCAAATGAAATGTCTTCTATGGCATGGGGCACACATGTGAAAAAGAAGGATTAAATTGTAATCGTATTGGCCTATGGGGTCTTTAGACCTAAGGAGTGGGTTTCACATATTGCGAAATCAATTTCAGAGAGAAGGGAATTAGGCTTTTCAATTTAGATAAATTGAAAAACAAAACACCACACAAACACACCTTTTGCTGCCACACTTATTGGAAGAGAAGAACCTAACAGTTTGTCGTTTTCTTGCTTCACCAAAGTTCTGGAGATGGGTGCAAAGCATGCATGGTCCGTGTATGTGTGTGCGTGTGTGTGTCTGTATCTATATATAAAGACAAAAGAAAGAGAAACAGAAAATAAGACGTTGTCCCATGTATATGGTTAATCACCTATTCGATTGATCATTTTGCTAAATTATTTGAAGACATGCTTCAAAAAAACTAAGATTTTGGGTACAAACATATATCATATTGGATATAAAACTAAAAGTAATGAAGCCTTTGTATACATATAACTACCAAGCATTGTTTCTTGAAAGCATGTGCGGATCGACGATGCCATGTTAATATTCCAATACTTGTACATACAAGGTCGACAATTGTCAAATTAGGATTCGGACTAACATGTTATAATCTTTGTGGACAAATGCCACTACTATAATGAATATGACACGTAAATTTACAACAAATTATTAGTCTAATATTTGTATTTAGCTACTTTGTTGGGTTAGGTCATTATTCGCTTTAGTCCATTTTGTTGGGTTAGGTCTGTACATTGATTATCCATATTAGCTTATTTTTATTATCCTTTTATTTAAGGAAACTTTAATAAAAAAACTTATGATACTGTTCACTTTAACCAAAAGCCACAATTTTATACTAAAAAGTCAATCATGGTACTATTCACTTTACTCTTTATTTTGTCCTTATCGTTAAAACTCAAAGTTTTCAAATCATTTTCATTAGTTTTCCTTTTATTTAATTGTGATAAACGTTCTCTCTTATTTGGAGGACTATCTTTTATTTATTTTCATATATTCTACCTCCATCACATGTTGAATGTATTTAATCAACTTATGGTATAGGTATCATGTATAATGACATATAAATTTTCTTTTAACTATTTTTCCAAAAAGTGGTTAGATTTTCATATTTAAATATTCAAAATAAAAATGGGAATAAAGATGCATAAATCAAGAAGTTTAATTAAAATAGAAAAGTAGGACACTGGACTAAGGCCCAGTTTGGGATTACTGTTTTTTTTTAATAAATTACTTCTCCTGTGCTTTAAGAATAATCAGCTACAAAATAAAGCAGTTGAACGTTTGATAAACTGTATTTTCTGTATTTTTAAAAGTGTTGTGAGTATAAAAAACAGTGTAAAAACAATGTCTAGGAGGATAAATAATGTACTTGTTTAAAATTAATGATCTTATTACATGATTTAAAAAATATTTTAAAAGCTCAACTCCACTTTTTATTAAAGCGGCTTTTAAAAGCAACCTATAGACTGCTTTTAAAAGCTGTTGTCTGGAGACCATTGCTTTTAAAATAAGCAGTATATTTTATTTTTACCAAATATTTTTTTTACTGTTTAACTTTAAAGTGAAGCAGTTTTAGGTGAAAAAAAACAATACCAAACTGAGTCTAAATCCAATAACGCTCAAATTTTTGGGCCTACATCAAAGTACCCCTTTTTTGTTATTAGACAAAACTATTACTCAGTTTACAAGAAAAATATATGAACTATTCTGGCTTTAGATTAATATAATCTTACATGAACTTTTCTAGTAATTTCAAGAATCATAATTTTTCTTCAATAGTTTGGAATTACTAAGTTGTTCGAAAAATGAACAATGAAAAACATGATGATTCGAAACTTTATTATTGGGACAATACCTAAGTTGAAAAACATCATGATTCTAAATTCTTCTTATTCGCACATTTGTTTATAATGAGAAAAGTTGTTATTTTCTCAATTTTTTCAACTTTGGTAATATCAATAAGCATTGGTCTTATCTATATATTCTTTTATCAATAAGCATTGGTCGTATCTATATATTCTTTTAAGAATAATCAAATGGACTACAATACAACTATGTATATTTATATTCAAATCTTACACTTGGAGTCTTGTGGAATAAACGGTGGTATTTGTATTCTTAAAAAATTGTATATTTATAGGGGTTTCTGTTGTTGGGCAAGAACATTAAGTACAAGCTGGACTCCAATTTCTACTTGTTATTTTTATTAAGGTGTTTGAAACTTCTGATTTCAACTTCTTTCCTTTGAAAATGAATGAGCAGAAGATTGATTGCCAAGAAAGAATTCAACAAAGCCATGACTATATCAGTAAATTTGTTTCCACTTCTTATGGTTATTCCCCTTCAACTAGACATATACTCTTGAGTAAAACACGAATTCAATGGACTCAAGATCTTCACGAAAAATTCGTTGAGTGTGTGAATTATCTTGGGGGTGCTTACAGTAAGTAACTTGGTATGGTCTTGTGTAATTTACTATGAAATAACAATTGATGTATAAATGTTGAATGATTCATTGTAGAAGCACCACCCAAGTCAATACTAAAGTTGATGAATGTAGATGGATTAACCATCTTTCATGTCAAAAGTCATTTGCAGGTATTAAGCAATTCCTTATATCTTTTATCTTGTTCTTATTTTAAGCTCTCCAAAAGTGTGATTCATCTTTCTCTTTTCCTTTTGATTCATCTTGTAGAAATTCCGAAATTCAGAATACCCACCCGGCTCTGCAAAAGGTAAATATCAGATCATTAAAATTTAGGTTTAGGGTTTGTTTTAGCATTATTTAGGGTTTAGGCTGTTTTACCATTAGTTATGATCTAAGTGACACTTTTTGTCTATTGTAGGAAAATCTGAGAAAGAACTACTTCGAATGTTGAACCCCAACTCGATGTTGAAACGTAATGCTAAACCTGATTGTTATTTTGTTCTTCAATTCACATTGTTATGTTCACTAGCTTCTTATAAACCTGTACATGATGTGAACTGTTTTGATAGTGGCTTGCATATCAAAAAGGCAATCCAACTTGAATTAGATGTCCAACAGCATCTTCACGAACAGTTAGAGGTACATTCATGAGATCTTTTTTAGTGTCTTCCCAAATTATATATACATATGTGTGTGTGTGTGTGTGTGTGTGTATAATTCTGAAATAAAATTGTTAATTGTATAACAATCTAACATTTTAATCTTCGTAAAAATTTTATTTAACTAACTTTTTCTGTATGTAGATTCAACGAAATTTACAGTTGCGAATTGAAGAACAAGGGAAACAACTCAAGAATATAATTGAGCTGCAGCTCAAGACTATAATCGACCTGCAACTCAAGAACTCGGACACCACCTTCTACGAAGGTGCCCCCATTAAGTAGTCTTGATGACGAGTTTATTGGTTTGTCTATTAATACATAATTGGGAATAAGCCAAGTCTTCAGACGTGAATGGATTATATTGTGATAATATTTATCACATGTGTGATTATGTAAATCACTAGTAAATTGTATTTTGGATACTAGAAGATCCTATCGCTTTATGATTGTATACTTGCAAGACAAGTGCAAGACAAGAAATCATATCCTGTTTACTATAAATAAAGGCACAAGCATGAGGGATAACATACAAAATTCCTTAAACCCTTCTCCATCTCTCTCTGTCGCGCCATCTCTCCCTTCGTAAAATAGGCCACAACAGATTCATGTATCTTACTTAATATTTTAGTCTGTTCATACTTAATATTTTAGTCTTTACATAAAGTTTGTGTGACAATAATATTGTAACAATGACTTATTTGTACTGTAATTTTTATTTTTAGGGGTGAAATCGATTAAGACTATTTGACACAAATTCGAGCTTTTGGTGCGATAAAAGACTCGATAAGATGATTCAACTTTTATAAGATTGACTTGCGATCTTTTGCACACATTGCCATCTTTGTAATCCCTTTCAACCAAATTCACTTCCTTGCAAATTAGACTAT